TTCTTTTTGTTCAGATGTGTGCCCATGATTAGTGTGCATGGCGTGTGAGTTTTGATGGGTGTTTGCCACACTGCTATTATTATTTTTATTTGCTTAGAAAATTTAGGTGTGATATTTTATTTTTGTGTGTTTATGTGCGTGTTTTTTTTTCTTATGTGTTTTTTTCCCCCTTTTCCTAATGAAAAATAATGTGTCAATCGCCGCAGTGGTGTGTTGTGAGAAAACGACAATAAAGGCGTTACACAAATGGTGAGACGCATTCATCACTATTGCTTCCATTACGTGCTTGATAGCTACGTTCCCTCTCCTTCTTGAACATTATCTTTTTCCTATTGTATTGTTGTGGCAATTCTTGTTTTGGCGTGTGTATCTCGTCTCTCTCTCTCTATATATATATATATGCTTGATGTGCCGATAGTATTACATACGGCCCTCAAGATCCTATCATCACTTCCCATGCAAGCACGTATTTTGGCCAATCACAGTACGATCAGATTTTTCTTTGTTCTCCTTGTCCAATAACGGGTTTGCTCCTGCGGTATCTATGTTGCGGCACGCACTGCTTGCTGAATTAGGCGTTGGGCAAGCGAAGGTGAGGGAGAGATCGTGTGTGTGTGAGAGAGAGAGAGAGAATAAGCAAACGCGTGGTTTTTGAGGGTTGAGTTAGGTAAATGGGGGAGAAACATTGCTAAATATTGTTGGTCTGTTGTTGTGTTTGCACAAGATTGTATGCGTGGATTGATTCTTTTTGTTTTCTACATGCAGGTGTCATTATTGTTTTTTTGGTGACGAGGTAGGTGGCAGGGCGGATTATGGGAGGTGGTGTTAGGCAAAGGAGAGGTGTGTGTGTATGGGTGGGGGAGGAGAAGAATATGTGACGCGGGCTAAAGAATTTTCAAGTAAATGGAGTTTGATTTATTTATATTTTCTTTTCCTTTCTTATCCACGAAAGGAAGATAAACGTGAGGCACCTAATGCATATTTACAAAAGAAGACACGTGCCAGCTGCCCTTTTGCTGTGAATACTTGTTGTCACTCTCTCGGATTCGTCTCTCTTACCCGCCCACACCGCCTTTCCTCTCTCATGCTTTCCTGCACTTATTATCTCCTCTCTCCGATGACGGCGGCGGGACGCTAGAGGAGGGGCGAAGGAAAACTTTATCTATTTCTTTGTGTTCTGGAGATGTGGTGGAGTTGAGATAAAATTTGGTTAAAACATTTTTATTCATTTTTTTTTTGTTATTGTTTCGTGCATATACATATATATATGTTATTCGCTACGATTT